AGATGCAAAAATCGTAAGTTTCATCATTGAAACTTAAAACTTTTTGAGGGATTCTTTTTCTACTGTGCCCTCGTGCATGATTGAACTACTATGCTAATCTCGAGGCAAAACGAGCGGGCGGCAAGACTTGGCAGGTGAGTGCCCTCGCACTCGCGTGTCCCTGCGCATTTCCGCAAACTTGAATGGGTCATTTGATTTTCTTAGAAACTTCGACCAGGTGGCTCGGCAACCTACGTCTCCCTCCGGTGTTTCCCTCTTCCGATGAAAGTAAAATAACATGTGAAACTCGAACAAAAACTAGTGGATTATTAAGCTGACAACGCATCTGCTCAGAACATGGAAAGATACACAAAATGGGTTATTGGCGCTAGCGGTTGAATATTATTCTCAACAGATGCAAGGTGTGCAATGTCAATTCATTCTGTCATGTTAGCACTAAGCTAACACTGTAGCACATGGTCACAGGTCACTGTGCCACCCCCATGCAAACCTGATAAGTCGTGATGCACGAGAGCATACCATTCCTATACAAATGATGCTTGATCGATCTACTCATGGGTTAGCTGCCCTAGCTAAAGAGAAATGCGAAAAAAGGGGTGCCCATCTTCCCTAGATGCTATAAATACCCCTCACCAGCTTCCTCTTTATTCACACAGCCCAAACTCTCTCTCTCTCTCTCTCTCTCTCTCTCTCTCTCTCTCTCCACATGGCCATGGATCTCCCCTCCAATTTCGAGTTGGTTGATAACAGTACACTCACTGAAATCATGAAGTTTACAATCAAACACGTGTACTTGCATCACATCTATTCCGGGCCAAACCCAAATCAGTTACAATTAATAGCCAGCACTAATGGGTTTGGCTCGACTTTTGTTAACAGTTGGGAAATATATGATGGGGTCGGCCCTAAGGCACATGTGATTGCCCGTGCAGACGGCCTACATATGCATTCTAAGAGTTGGCACAATTCGTTCTCCATGTTGTTCGAGGTTGAAAGGTATGTAGAAGATTACCGTGTATTTGATGGTGTACCGCGTATTTTTGTTTTTCCCAAATGATCACTGTATTCCGTATTTAGGCCATTCTTTTAGCCGCTGCCTTTTGTTAATGTGTTAGCAACAAGCACATATCTCATTTTATTGATGGCAGCAATTACCACTTTCTTGCAAGAGCCCGAGAAATTGTCCTTTAATCTGTGCATCATAGCGAACCGAGCGGGATGGTAGGATGGGGGTTGGTACCAACCTACGATCCTTGGTCGACGGCTAGGTGCCCCATATCTTCTATCAATGTAACAATTTCCACCCTTTTGTAATTCATTTTTAAATTAATGCATTATTATAAACTTCGGGTGCATGATCGCTATGAGGTGCAACTAATTTCACAGGTTTAAGGACTCCACTCTTCAAGTACTTGGAGCATCCGTTGAGAAAGAAGGTGAGTGGGCTATTGTGGGTGGGACCGGTGAATTTGCAATGGCACGTGGCGTCATCAAGATAAGAGTACATGAGAAAATACCTGGTGGAGAAATACTAGAGCTTGATATCCTTGGATATTGTACTAAGCCGGTTAGGCGAATATTCAACGCTCTTTTGTTTTTATGTACAGTATGTTATTTTTCTGTTTAGTATATGATTTTCACATGCAATTCACTTGCAACATGCAGAGCCGTGCTCTTGCTGTTACGAAGATGAAGCATGGGGTTCACAAGGAAATTTCGTTCATGACATCAACCACAAACCTTTGCGTCTAAAAAGTGTGACTGTTCACACCAGCGACCTCTTCGACGGAATTAAATTTACTTACATTGCCCAAATTGGGCAGATTCGCACGGAAAACCTTTGGGGTTTTAGTCAAGATGGATCGGAGCACACAGTGAGTATATTTTTTTCAGATTCAAATTTGTTCTCATGCATGCATGTGCATGGTGCATATATCACTCACTGACAATATTTTCTCCCTGTTGTTTGCAGCTCACACTAGGTCCTTCGGAGTTTCTGAAGGAAGTATCCGGTTCAATTGATAACTCCAGTGCCCCGAACTATTTTCTACGGTCAATAAAATTGGTCACAAGTGAAAGAGAGTTTGGACCTTTTGGTGGAACGCGAGGTGGTACTGCTTTCAAAAGCAGCGTGCCAAAGGGCAGCATGATTGTAGCTTTCCATGGCAGCAGTGGCGACAACTGGCCCGGCCATTATAGGATGCACTCGATCGGTGTTTACTCGATTCCTCGGAACGTCCTCACTACCGAGTAATACTGCTGCTGATTCCGGCTATTTTAGCCAACGTGTTTGTTTAATTTGCTTGGTCCCAACAATAAGATGGTTAGGGTCACATCCTGCCAGCCAGTAATCCCAGTCCTATTCATGTCGAGTCTTTTGTTTTTATACAAGTCCACTCTTTCCTGCGAATCAATTAATGTTGTAATGTTTCAATGAATAATTTACTTTTTGGTATATTTAACATCCACTCTTTGCTTAAAAATACGGAAATGTTAACGCCCACACATGTGGGCGTTGACCATCTCGACCACACGCATCCATCACCGTATAGTACTATATGCACGAATCTTGACACAATCTGGCTGATTTTCTGTGCCATGTAGGACAAGGCATGTGTGTGGTGTGTGACATAGTTCGCTCAAACATCCGTTTTACCACACGGAGGGGCCGGTGTGTGGGCATTTAGCAGTTCACCCACACACCGGTTTTCAGTCACGCACAAGGGCTGGTGTGTGGGCATTTGTCATCTCGCCCACACGCCCATCTTCTCTCCCACACGTAAGCTGCTAGTTGCCATGTGTTTTTGCAGCGCACATGGCAACTGCCTCTAGTGTTTCTGCAGGGTACACGGCAACTGCCTAGTGTGTACGTAAGCAGATGGCAACTGTCTTTTACCGAGTTGTCATGTGTTTTTGCATGGTACATGGCAACTGCCTCAACGTGCACGTACATGGCAACTGCCCTAACGTGCACGTAAGCAGATGGCAACTCTTCCTTTTTACATGGCAACTGCCCTAGCATACTTGTGAGCACATGGCAACTCTCTCAACTGCCTAGTGTTAGTATGTGGCAACTCCTAAAGTTATGAAATCATGGCAACTAAATTAGATCAGACCATACATGGCAACTGCAGTTGAGCAACCATGGCAACTGCAGTTGTCCGACATGGCAACCATGGTTCAGCGACATGGCAACTGCAGATAAACGAACATGGACGAGGGTCTGGACCATGGCAACTGCGGGCGCGCGGTGGGCGTCATGCGTCGCATGCGGGACCAGAAGGGTACGAGGCCTGACATACGGGCGTGTGGGCGTTATCAACTTCGCCCACACTCACGCGTGTGAGAGGGTTCAGGAGGGAAAAAAGATGTTTGTGGGCATTAGTTGTTTTGCCGACACGTAGGTGTGTGGGCTGGTTGTTGTCCATGCCCCACGAGGCATGTGGCACAACTATCCGATACACCACACGTGTCTCAGTTATCGGGACCCTAAAAATATGTGTACCGCCATGTTAGAGCATCAAAAAACGACCCAAACAGGCTGCTCATACCGGCCCTAAACGTCCGTTAATCGGCGCTCTTCATATGCGGCCCAAATCTCGGGCGGATATGGAGAGGCTGGGGCGCATCCGCCACGTCGGACCCGACAAGCAGGGCCAAACCTTACCCCCCCCCCCTCTCCGAAACTGCCGGACCAACCATTTTTCTCTCCTCTGTTCTCCCTCGTCCGTGCAGGCCCTCCCCTAGCTCCGCCACCACAACATTCCTCCCATGTATTATCGCCACGACGGGAGTGAATTGCAAAAAACATCGACACTTCAGGCTAGGTTTGCAGGTACCACACATATACGAAATTGTGCCAAAAAGCACTAATTTTTTTCATAATTTTTTGCAAAAAAAACTAGTTGCTTGTTTGGACCGTTTTAAGTGCGTTTATGACAAGGGGGGCCCGCATCCGTTGACGTGGCAACACTGTTCACACGGCAACACCGTTAGACGGCGTTACACGCCACTGGCACACCGGTTCGAGCCGGGCCGCTTAGTCTTCGAGCCGTACCCCGCCCGTCCGCTCCTCTCACTCTCTTTTCCTCCCCCGCACTCTCTCCTCTCAGTCATGGCGACGGCTGGCGGCGCAGGCGGCGACTGCGGCGGCTCTGCCGGCGCTGGAGATGATGGTCCACCTATGGGAGATATATGCGGGAGCTCAAACCCTAGCTGGCCGTCGGATACGAGCAGCCCCAGCCAGAGCCCCCAGCACTGTCTCGAATATGTGGCGGCAAGATCTTGGGCCAGGGCAGTGAAGGAGAATCCATCGGAGAGTCACCGGATTGCCTCGTCATTCGGCGGCGTCTAGTGAGTTTCCTCTTCCCTCTCCCCTCTCCCCTCTCCCCTCTGCCCTCTTCCCTCTTCCTGTAGATCAATTCTAGGGTTAGGGTTAGGTTTTTTGGCACTGTTAATTGGTGCTCTCTTAATTGTGATTTAGTTGCGGTTGATTTGTAGTTAACAAAGTAGCTAGTTGACAGAGTAGTTAGCAGAGTAGCTAGTTGATGATGTACTCAGCAGAGTAGTTAGCAGGGTACTATACTTGGAGAGATCAATTTGCTTTGCTTTGACAGTGAAGTTGACTGATTTTCAGAACTTGACAGTGGTTTTTAGAAGGTGTTTGTTGTTTTCAGAGTGTATTGTACTGTATTGTAGCAATTATAATGTTGATTACTCTGTTTTAGTGCTCTGTTTTAAGAATTATGCATTTTTTACAGTACATTGGTGCTCTGTTTTAGGAATTATGCATTTTTTACAGTACATTAGTGCTCTTTTTTAGTGCTCTGTAAATTAAGCTATTTTAATTATTTGTGTGTAGTTTGAACGATGATGTTTGGGAAGTTAGAATGCACTTCCATGACAGAGAAAATTTGGAGAGATCAGTTTGCATCTCAGACATAACATATTATAATTTGGTTGCCCTAATAGAGGCAAAGTGATATGGGCTTAATGATTTCATGTATTTTGTGAGGGATCCTGGTGTGGGGATTGCAGGAATGGATGAAATTTGTGATGATGATAAGGTGGATGAAATGCTTGACCATATTGCTAACAATGATCAGCATGTAGTGAACTTGACAGTGGTTAGGGGCACTGATCCAAGACCTGCAGATTTGAGCTCAGGCTATCTGGTTGAGGAGCAGGTTCCTTTGAGCCATATAGGAGAGAACCCTGTGTATGTAGTAAATCCTTCTAGTGTTCTCTTAAGATCACCACCAAAAAGTATAATACAGAGTCAGCCAGAGCCATTGCAGTTCTACACTACACAGCAGAGCACAAACCATGATCTGGATACAAATGCTGCCATGGACCAATCCAATGCAGCACATCAGGATGAACTGGAGACATTAATGGAGTTGAAGAGGAGAACAAAGATTGCCAAATTTAGGAAACATAAGATTGCAGCTGAGCATGTAAATAAAGTTAAGCAGAAGCTACCAATTCTTCTAACTGAAGATGATTCAGATCTGGATGCAGATGAGGACTATCTTCAGAGGCTTAATGAGATGAGGAAGCAAAGAGAGGATCCACTCATTCATTTTGATGGAGACACTGATGTGGGTGAACTGTATGAGGAAGATGAGGAAGGGCAACATGTGGAGGTGGAGCAAGAGGAGCAGGTGCACCAAGAGGAGCAGGTGGAGCAGCCTCAGCAGCAAGAGGTGCCTACAAAGAAGAAGAAAGCTAGGAAAGGGCCAACAGAGAGGTCACATTCTAGCTTGGAACAGAGATTTGAGGATGTTTGGGCACCATCATCAGATGAGGAGCCAGATCTTGGTGTTTTGAAGCAGGAATATGATGATGGAGCTGAGGAAGTACAATTTGTTCTGCCCAATGGAAGGAAGAGCAGATCAGTGAGATCTTTGCCAAGGATCTGGTACAGTGAGGAGAGAGAGAACCCAGAGGATCAGTTTTGCAGAAAACTTTGTTTCCTCAATGTGTATCAGTTTAGGAGAGCAATTCAGACATTGCACATAACTCAGAATAGGAATTATGAGTTCCACAGAAACTGCAATGACAGCATCATAGTTGTGTGCACAAATGCAAAATGCCCTTTCTTTATTGCAGCTTCTGTTGTTGCAAATGAGACTACTTTTTGCATAAGGAAGGCAAATTTTGTGCACACATGCCCAGCAGTAGGAGAGAACACCAAGGTCACTGCAAAATGGGTTGCACACCAGTGTGAGGCAATGATGAGAGTTGATATTGGCACACCAGTCACCACAATAATGCAGACACTGAAGAAGAAATATGGAATAGAGATGTCCACCCATATGGCCTACAGGGCTAGGAAGCAGGCATTGAAGGTTGTCCAAGGAGATCAGAGAGGACAATACACTAGAATAAGAGATTATTTGCAGGTTGTGTTGGATACAAACCCAGGCTCTAGATGTATTGTTACTACTAGGCATGTACCAGAGCACCCAAGCAAAAACCCTAAGTTTCATGGCCTCTTTTTCTGTCTAAGTGCTTGCAAACAAGGGTTTTTGAATGGATGCAGACCATTCATACGTACATTTCATTTACTAAGTTGTGAATTGTTTATGTGCTCACATTACATACACTATGTTCGCACAATTGTCAGCTTTGCAGGGGTAGGTGGTTGTTTTATCAAGCTGTCAACAAGTCAATAGATCCTTGCTGCAACAGGAAGGGATGGGAACAATAATATCTACCCTATAGCATTTGGAGTTGTTGACAAAGAGGACAAAGACAGCTGGACCTAGTTCTTAACACAGCTTAAAGATGCACTTGGTGGAGAAAGTGGGAAGTTTGGCTATTATACCATCATCTCTGATAGGCAGAAGGTAAACTTCTCTTCTCATACAATATTGCACTAGGTTTCATGGTTTCATATGCACATTGCTATAGCTTCATTGTTTTATTGTTTATAGGACCAATACTTAGCTTTATTTCCCATTGTTTCAAACAGGGGCTTTTAAATGCAATAAACCATGTGTTCCCCAATTATCCACAAAGATTCTTCCTTAGACATATCTATCAGAATTTCCAAACTGCTGGTTTTAGAGGTGATGAATTAAAGAAACACATGGATGCAGCTAGCTACTCTTATACTGAGAATGAACACCTTGATGCAATGAATGCTTTGAAAAGAGAGTGTGAGGCTGCTTGGACATGGCTTCACAAAATCCCTGTTCATATTTGGGCTAGGCATGCTATGGATTTTAATTGCAAAACTGACCTGGTAGTGAACAACATCAGTGAGGTGTTTAATAAAATGATATTAGATGTCAGAGGCAAGCCAATAGTGACCATGATAGAAGGAATTAGGACAAAATTGATGGTCAAATTTAACAAGAATAGAACAAAGACAGAGACAGCAAATTGGGAGATTTGCCCTACCTATGCTGAAATGTTAGAGGAGACAAAGTACAACTCAAGGTGGTGCCAGACTTTGATGGCTGGTCCTAACATCTACCAAGTGACTAGTGGAGAAAACACCTACTCAGTGAACTTGCTGGACAGAACATGTGGATGTAGGAAATGGGATATGACTTCTATGCCTTGCCATCATGCAGTTTCTGCAATAGTGAAAGCTAAGTTGCAGCCAGAGGACTTTGTTGTTGATTTCTTCAAAAAGGAAATGTATAAAAAAGCATTTGCACATATCATATTTCCTGTGCCTGGTCCAAACCTGTGGCCAAGGACAAGAACTCAGGACATGGAGCCTCCAGTATTCAAAGACAAGGTTGGGAAGCAACAGACAAAGAGGAGGAAAAACCAATTTGAGAAGCCAGCACCAAGAGATACATCTAGGATGGCATCTATTACTTGCAGCAACTGCAAACTTGTAGGGCATAGATACAATGTTTGCTCGAAGCCCCTCAAGCCAGCTCTTGCTATGAGAATGAACTAGCATCAGGTTAGTTATAGTAGCACCTCAATTCTCTTTATTTTGTCTCCATTGTAACTCACAAGCCTTAACTGTTTTTGAAATGCAGCCAAACAGGTCACAGGCTTCTACTTTAATAACAAATGCATCTACAGCTGCTGCACCACCAAGGAAGAGGCCATCTTCATCTACTACTGCACCTACAGCTGTTGCACCACCAAGGAAGAGGCCATCTCCATCAACTACTGCTCCTACACCTGCTGCCACTACACCTGTTGCTCCTCCAAGGAAGTCTCCCAGGAAGAAAGCTACACCTGCTGCCACTACACCTACTGCTCCTCCAAGGAGGTCTCCCAGGAAGAAAGCTACCAATGCTGTTACGGCCTCTACCTCTGCTGCAGGAAACAGGTCAACTTTTCAAGCTCCAAGACAGAGTGGAAGAAAAAGGACTTCTTCATACAAGTTGAAAGAGTACTTCTATGCTTCTGGGAACTAGATGCCTTTGTCTTTGTTAGCTTTCAGAACCTATGATGCCTATGTTGGCTGTGAACTAGATTATGCCTTTGTTGGCTTTCAGAACCTATGATGCCTATGTTGGCTTTGAACCATTGTTGGTTGTGAGAACTTGGATGTTTATCTTAAATGCTAGCTTAGATGGATGTGAGAACCTGAAAATGTTGGTTGTGATGCTGGTGATTCTGGTGATGATGTTGGCTTAGATGGATGATGATGATGCTTAGGGTCGCTCGGCGTCGAAAAACCCACCAAGTGAGTCTAGGGTCACTCGGCGTCGAAAAACCCAACAAAGTGAGTCTAGGGTCACTCGGCGTCGAAAAACCC